AAAAGGAATTAATAACAAAATCAAACCCCTGTTGTGGTGTGTGCCCAGGCCCTGGCAATGGGGTGTCTTCTCTCTGAACCAATCACCTTTTCTCTACCCTTGAAATTGTGAATCATGCTATAAAATCAAAAGTGTTTCTGAATAAACTTGGCTCTTTTTTCCTATCATAAAAGATAACCATGTAACTGTGCATCTTATTTCTGCCTCACTTAAAGGGTTCAAACCCCTTCCCACGGCTACGCCCCAACCCGCTCTTGATGTAAAAACCAAAAAACTCAAACGCCCCAATCCACAGCAGCAGGGTCTGCTCTGCTCCAGGACCCTCTGAACAAACACCTCCGTTTCCTCCCAGCTCCTCCAGCCTCAGCCCCAGCCTTACCTGATCTCAGCTGTTTGATTCTGCCGTTGCTGGCGCTGGGGTCGACGGGCAGGAAATCCTTGAACCAGGTGATCTCGGGGTCGGGGTTGCCGCTGGCCGCGCACAGCATGGTGGCCGTGCGAGTGCGCTCCACCACCTTCAGCTGCGGCCCCATGTCGATGTTGGGGAAGCCAGGAGGGAGCTGGTCCTCTGTGGGGAGTTGGGGACAGCAAAGGGTAAAGGCTCAAACAGGCGCCCAGGGTTCAGTGTCACAGCCCAAGGACGTGTGAGTTCAAACATCGACTGCTCCAAGTGGAAAGCGCGGGGCACAGCAAGAGCTTGTCCACTTCGTGTCACTGTTTCAATGTCTCACTAGATTCTACATTTAAATGTATTCTTAAAAAAAAAACCAGCCCTCTGGGGGACAGCAGAAGAGAATTAGGGAATCATTAAGGTTGGACAAGATCTCCCAGATCTCCAGGTCCACCTGCCCTCCAAACCACGTCCTCAAGTGCCACATCAGCTCGTTTTTGGAACACATCCAGGGACGGTGGCTCCACCAGGCAATCTGCTCTGTGTTTATTCACTCTTCCAGGGAAGAAATCTTTCCTGAACAATTTGGAGCAACTTGAGGTCATTTCCCCTTGTGCTATCACTTGTTACCTGGGAACAGAGACCAAGCCACACCTGGCTGCACCCTCTTGTCAGGGAGCTGCAGGGAGTGACAAGGTCTCTCCTGAAGCCCTTTCCTCCAAGCTGAGCCCCCAGCTCCCTCCCCTGCTCCTCACAGGATTTGTGTTGGAATCACCATGTCAGAGCTTCTCCAGGTGTTGCAGGGAAGCTCTGCCAGGTCAGGGGCTGGCACTGGCTGCTTTGCAGAGCAGGGGCCGTGCAGGGATCCCTGCTAAAAAATCACAGTTAAAAGAGAGGACTCACCTTTCCCCTCCAAACCTCACAGTGCAAAAAACACACTGCACAAGAGAAATAATGGAAGAGCCCACGTGGAAAGGGCTGTCACAGACAGTGGGACTGGGAGAGAAAGGAGAGGAAAATCCCCTCCTTCAGCTGCAGTGACCAGAGGGGACACCCACAACAACAACATGCCAAGTGCTGTCAGCCAGGGGGTGATTTTTAGATTTATTAATTCCAAGTGCTGCTGCCCTCCAAGAACAGTGGCACCAGCACCCAGCAGAGAGGCTCAAGTGAGCTGCAGCTGAGCTTCCTGCTCCTCTCAATCCTGCTTTTGCCTTCACTAATGAGGGTGAGGAGGGCAGTCCCAACAGTGCTGACTAATTTGTGGTAACTCCTATGAAAGCCCAGTGCTTCCCCACTAATACCTGACACAGCCCCTTACCCCCGTGGGATGGGGAGAGCTGTCTCATGCTGGCTGCCACAGCTCAGGAAAAATGCCATTTTTCCCCCCCCCCAGAACATGTTTGGGGGAGGGCAGCTTGGAAGGAGGATGCCAGCAGCAGGGTGAGATTTGGGAGGGATCCTCTGTCATCTCCAATGAGCTGTGTCAGGGAATCACAGCCTTGGGAGTCTGGGCATGGAATCCATCCCAAAAGCAGGTGAGCGAACAGAAGGGAAATAATGCAGGGAATTAAAAAAGGTGGGATTCTTAAAAATGAACATCCATCACAACCAGCCCCCCACTGATGCTGATGGGAGCTCTCCCAGGGGCACTGGGATGGGGCTGGGAACCACCCTGCCAGCTGCAAACACACCCTGAGCTGCTTCCTAAGGCTGGCACGTGGTGGGTAAGGAGGAATGGAGCCAAACACAAATGGCAGAGCCCAGAGACAGCAGGACAAGGGACAAACCCAGCAGCCTTGCTGTGGTGGGTGCCTTTCCAGAGCATCCCAGAATGGCTTAGGCTGGAAGGGACCTCAGAGCCACCCAGTGCCACCCCTGCCATGGCAGGGACACCTCCCACTGTCCCAGGGTGCTCCAAGCCCCAGTGTCCAGCCTGGCTTTGGACATTCCAGGGATCCAGGGGCATCCACAGCAACTCTGTGCCAGGGCTTGCCCACCCTCCCAGGAAGAAATTCCTGGTACCTAATCTAAATCTGCACTTTTTCAGTTTAAAGCCATTTTGGTGCACCTGAAGCACCTCTAAACCAGAATTTTGTATCCCAAACCGTTCACACACATCTTTATCTAGGGACTGACCCAGCCCTCTGAGCTGCCTGGCATGTGCTGGGGCACCGCAGGACCCCCAAACCGTGGCTTCCTTCAGCCCCCCAGCAGTGATGCCAGGCCAGCAGGAAGGCTCTGGGAATTGCTCTGCCTGTGCACAGCTTTCAGCCAGGCTTTAATGGTCCTCCCTTCCCTTCCTCTCCTCTCCTCTCTCGCAGCCGTGGGAGGCTGAGGAGCCGCAGCCGCATTGGCTGCAGATGACATCACTATTGATCCCTGCTTTTATCCTGCTCCCGGGTGATGCTGCTCCACCTGCCTCCAGCCCCTGCCCCTTCCTTCCAGGAGCCAATTAATGCTCAGAGGGAATAACCTGTGCCTGGTGGGATGTGTGTGCCCGTGTGTGTGTGTGTGTGCCGGGGGAGGCCGGCTACAACCATTATTACCGAGTGTTTCTAATTAAACAAAAATGTTAATCTTGCAGCACAATGTGCAGAATTCCTCTGAGTTTAATTAAAACAACTGCGACTAGAGGCGTGATCAGATTTGAGGATCGGATGAGCAGAGGAAGCGTCTCTGAACATCACAGACTGCTCCGATTCAAGGGCTCAGATTTCCTTCCTGTCAGGGAAGTAAAACTCCCCCATGCCCTGACAGCTGGGCTCCCTGTAACAACGCAATTACAACCTCATTGCAATCCCCACAGGACAATCACACACGTGCCCTGCCACCCTCCCCAAACACCCCAGACCTGTCCCCGAATAAACAAGGAACGCTTCGGGTTGTGAATTCTCTCTCTGAAAGCAGCTCAGGCAACTGCAGGGACAAAAGAACCAGACACAAGCTGGAGATGCTTCAAGGGCACATCTGGGCAGCTGCTGCTGCTGCTGCTGGAACCGTGCTGGCTCACGCAGGCAAAGCTTCTCCTGAGCTGCCATATGAAGGGAGCAGCCCAACACCTTGTTCATCCCTGACTTAGAGCCAGCTCTTCACGGCCACCCCACCCCGAGCTGGTGAATCACCTCAAGGCCTCGCTGAGCAAAGGAGGCTGAGAAAGAACAGGGGAGGAGGGATGGGGAGAGGCAGGGGAAGAGAGAGGAGCACTTTGGTGTCATTTATAAGAAATCCCACCCAGGGACACGTTCTGTGCCTGGACCCAGCTCAGGCTGCCACACACAGCAAGGGTCCCCAGCCCCAGGCAGGGGACAGGGCTGCTCTGTCCCCTTGTCACTCTGGAAGGTGGCAGCACTGGGTTTAGCTAATTAGCTGTGCTGGAAATGAGGATGATTAAGGAAGATAAAGCGGGTGTTGCTGCTGCTCTTTTCCCCGCAGGGTGTACACAGTTGTTTAATAATTTAGAGGAGGAGGGTGTGAGCGTGAGCAGACGTGCCATGGAGTCGGTGCAGAAAGGCACGAGGATGCTCTGAAGGGAAGAGGAGGAGGGATTTTTTTCACTCTCCTTGGAGATATGGATGCTGGCTTTTCTGACTGTCCTCATTCAGGGTGGAAGAAGCAGGAACACGGAGATGGAGCAGCTCGAGTGACACAAGTTTTAATCAGGATCAAAATCAAAATCCACCACTCTTTAAGCTGCCCCTGTTCCTTTCATTATGTTTATGAACACTTGAGCTGCCCTCTCTGCTGTGTGCCTTGTGAAATTACATCAACAAGTTATTTCCACCCATGTGCCTGTACCTGTGTCTCAGCTCTGTGTTATTGCCCAGCCAAAGACAATTTTAATGTAAGGAGGAGTCTCAGTAATGTGCTCTGTCTGCTGATTCCATTTCTTTGGAGCTGAAAGTTTCACTACGAAAAGAGCAATAGCCTAACAATGTTATGAGAATTTGTGGGCTCACAGGCAATAAATTCAGCCTTAGATATGTGTGCTGCACCCCAAAGCAGTGCAGGCAGTGCCTGTGCTCCCTCCACTGACGGGTCCCCACGCTCCCTCCTTCTACAGGCATCTCAGTTAAAATGACTTTGATGTTATTCAGAAGCTACAGAATTAATCTGCTGTCAATGTCACCCAATTTTCAGGTCACTACAGGCAAAGCAAAGCAAGTCAAGTTTGAAGAAAGACTGCCAGGAATTTTCCAAATGGCAAGGTAACATTTCAGAGGGGACAGCTCCCCTTTCCCGTGTGCTCCCGTGGGACTCTGCTGAGCATCCAGAGCTGCTTCTTGTTTACCTTTTGTGATTTAAAGCCAACAACTACAAAAAAACTCCCAACAAACCGCAGGGATCTTGCTAGAACTTTACACATTCCCACACCAGATGTGCTCTTGGAGTAGGAAATGTGTGAGGGAGATTTCAGGCTGGAATTGTTAAAGCAATGCCTGAATACTTCATGCAAGGAAACCAAGAGGGAAACACAAGAAGCTGTGAAAGTCTGCCCATAGCAGCCCCAGTGACAGTCCTGGAGGGAGTCCCACAGTCCTGCAGTGTCCCACAGCCCCTTCTCCCCCCTGCTCTGGAGTGCAGCAATCCCAGGAGCACACAGCCCTGCCGGGGATGCACAGAGAGCTGGCTCAGGGCACACCAAATTCTGCTCCTTTACACTGAGCTGCTTTTTGTGCTGCATTTAGCAATGAGTAACCCCCACAGAACTCCCTCCAGCAGCTTCCCCAGAGCACAGAATGGAGCCAGCCTGGTTCCTGTTTGAAACCCAGCCCCTGCTCCTGCAGCTGAGCAAGGGTCCCTGTGCCCTCAGCCCCCCACAGAAAAGCCTGCACAGCACCAGAATCTCTGTCAGGCTACTCAAGACGTGGAGGGAAAGGATAAGCTGCATACAGGAAATAATAATAATAATCATGATAATATAGACAGAGATGGTGGAGATATAAATGTAGACACAGAGAGAATCCCAGGATGGTTTGGGACAGAAGAGACCTTAAAGCTCATCTCACCCCTTAAATTCCCATCCTGCCATGGCAGGGACACCTCCCACAGTCCCAGGGTGCCCCAAGCCCTGTCCAGCCTGGCCTGGGACACTCCCAGGGATGGGGAGTCTACAACCTCTCAGTCTGTATCTATCCCCAGAGATACACATATAGATATTTATATCTTCCTTGGGAGTGGGCAGCTCAGAGAATCCACACCAACTGGGAGCTGCTATGCCCGTGCCAATGACCTTCCTTCCTGCCTAAGTTACCACGAAAAACAACAGCAGCTGGAGTCAAAAACAACTGGAAAATGCTTCCCAAAGCTGCTTTCTTTCTTTTTCTCCAAGCTCTGCAGGAGTCAGGCACTCTGTCTAGCCAGCTGTGGAAGGAACAGCCAGTCTCCACAGCCCTACCAAACTGGGATCCCTGGAGAAGCAGAGCAGGAAGGACAAACAAGCCAGCAGGGCTGGTGTGAAGGGACTGTGTGAGTTGAACAGTGTCCATCACAGCTCTGCTGCTCAGAAGCTCCCCAAGGTTTCCTCTCCTGCAGTTTCCTGTTTTCTAGTGAAGGCATGTGGGTTTCTACCAGGGTCTGTTCCAGGAGTAATCACGTGCATAAGCAAGAGGGGTTTATGCTCAATCCCTTCAGCAGCTGCATCTAGGAGGGAAGAATGTATTGTTTTCTCTTCTGAAAAGAGGGAATATTTTCTGTCATTTGCTGTTAGGAGGCTGCACTGGTGCTGAGGAAATGCTGCAATGCTGGTGCAGGAAGGGACCCACAGGCATGTCTGGGATCACAGCAGCACAGGCAACAGGCTGCACAGCTGCCCCAGAGCCCCCTGCAGTTTGCAGCAGCTGGGCCCAGGTTTGCACTCTCCAGAGTGTGCCAAGGTAACAGGTTCTGCAAATGACAGCTCCCATCCATCTCCAGGCTGGGAGCAGCGAGGAGCAGCCCCCTCTCTGCTCAGCATCAGCTCTGCAAGTGAGAGCAGAGACAGGAGGAGGAGGCTGAGCAGCGAGAGAAAAGACAAACAGGAGAGTGGGTGGGTGCAGAAGAGGGGAGGAGCAGGAGAGGAGTAGATGCCAACATGCTCACTTTGTCATTGTGCAGATCGGTGCATTTGGCTGGGTGCTTTTAACTTGCCCAGCACTTGAAAACGCAGATAAAGAGGAGACAAACTCTGCTGTGTGAGAGCTGGGGAATGCTGAAGAATGGAGAAACTCCAGCTGAGCAGGGGAGGGGAGGATATGCTACACAACCTGCTTCCCTGGTGCTCTTCAACATCGCCCTGGCCCACCCTGCAGGTAATTCCTGCTCCCTCACATTCCATGGACGGGCACCCCCCGTGCTCCAGGAGACTCCAAACCAGGTCCCATCAGGCAAACAGAGCAGGGGGCTGTGAGAGCAGAGCCACAGTCAGAATGTTCTGGTGGCTCAGCACAGGGTGGCTCAGTCAGGCAGTGGGGGCAGATGCAGCCCCAGTGCTGTCAGCTGTCCCTGGCTGACGTGGATGATGCTGATCCCACAAGGAAGAGCTCTACAAGAGCCCGGGTCCCTCAGGACGGCCTCTGAGCTCAGATCTTTCCTATTTCAGACTCTAAAAATCCCCGACAGGAGTCTGTGGCCAGGTGGGGGTCGGGCTCTGTTCCCAGGCAGCCAGAGAGGAGCAGGAACAGCCTCAGGCTGTGCCAGGGCAGGCTCAGGTTGGACATCACAGGAATTTCTCCTTGGAAAGGGTGGTCAGGCCTTGGAAGGGGCTGCCCAGGCAGGTTTGGAGTGTCCATCTCTGAAAATGCCCAAGGAACAACTGGACTCCCCCTGCCACTGCTTGTAGCTAAATTCGAGGGGTACAAACTTTAAATATGACTGCAGGGGCCCTTCTCCCAGACTGTCACAGCTCCAAAGGAATTCATGGGAATAAGTGTGAAGAAAAGGCTCCCACCCCCTGGGATAAGCACAGTTAGACACACTCCTGTCACACTGCACTGTTCCAAGCTCCTGACAGCTCCATCCCACCACGTTCCTCCACCAGAAGGTTAAATGCCATGCCAGGCACAGGAGCTGCACACACATCGAAGTCACCTACACAAATCTGTCAGGCATGACTGGACCACGGCCCCCACGCTCCCAGGCAGCCAAAATCCTGACAGCACCGAGCCCACAGCAGGGATATTCCCAGCTAAAAAGGGAGGCTGGGGGCTTTGCCTTGTGCCCTTCATGTCTGCTGTTAATTCCCTGCTGCACGCTGGGGAGTCACACACCAATTTTGCTCTGCCCTTTGAAGGACGGGCTCGCTGCCTGTTCAAACAAAAGGATTGAAGCTGCTCCTGGAGGGAATGCTGGAATTGCTGAAGGAAAAGCAGCTGGCCCATAGGCACAGCTACCCCTTGGCCCTGTGGGGCTCCTGCGTGCAGCACCTAAAATTTTTCTCAGTCTGTTCACTGCACAGAGAAAGGATTTTACTGCCAGTGCTACTCAAACACCAATGGCTTCATTCAAAGCCAAAATAAATTCCCCTTGGGAGCTCTCAGGCCGTGATCCACCTCCCCATTCCCCCCCAGGATCACCTGCACTGCCCTGTGCTTGGAACACAGAACATCACTGATGGGTGTCCCAAACCCCACAATGGGTCAGCTTTAGCACCCAGCCTCGCTCAGAGCTTCACACACGGATTTTAGGGATCTCCAGGGCAATAACAGCAAACATCCAGAGGCATCCAGAGCAACAGCATATTGTTCCCTCCCCCACACCCAGTTCAGGGAGCATCTTTCAAACAGATGACATGAGGGAGGCATCCATGTAAACATCCTCTGTAACGGGGACAAGTGGGAAAAGGAACCAGAACAAAATGGAGAATGGAATTGGTTTCTTGGAGAGTGCACAGAGCCAGGGACCTCTGGGAAGAGGGAGAAGGCCAGAAAGGCACAATAGGTATTCTGCACGAGGAAAAACGTTTGCATTGCTACCAAATGTGTGCAAGCCCATGCAGATCCACGATGACCTTAACCCCAGCCCATTAAGTGATCCCTTAGTGAAGGTTTCCCTGGAGCCACATTTCTGTGTGGACAATGGGGAGCTCCTGGTGCTGTTCCTAAATCTGGGGAAGGAATTTTTGCAGGAGAGGAAGATCATAAGAGTCATAGGATAATTCAGGTCAGAAGGAACCCCAGCACATCACCAGTCAAACCTCCTGAAGTGGCCCAGTTTCACCTCTGCTTTACACAGCAGTTTCATGTTTCTCTGGGGTAAGAGCAGCAAACAGATCTGGTGGGTCAGACCAAACCAAAGCAAACCAAACCTAACCAAACCTAACCAAACCTAACCAAACCCAACCTAACCAAACCTAACCAAACCCAACCTAACCAAACCTAACCAAACCAAAGCAAACCCAACCCAACTCAACCCAACCAAACCAAACCAAACCCAACCCAAACCAAACCCAACCAAACCCAACCAAACCCAACCAAACCCAACCCAGGCCAGTCCAGGAGGACTCTGTGCCTTAGCCATGGATTCTCAGCAGCCTTCCCACCCATGTGAAGGGCCCCTTGCCCTGCTCTTTACCTCGGAGCACGGTGAGCTTGGCGTGCACAGTGACCTCCCCATGAGGGTTCTGAGCTACACATTCGTAAATGTTCTCGTCCCGGGGGGTCCGGAGGGGCTGGATCCTCAGAACAGCACCTGCACTTTCATCAAATTCGATGGTCTGGGGGATGGAGGCAAAGAGACACACACACACAGTAAATGTCCTTGGGTTGCTGCTTCTCAGGAGACCCCAGGCACGAGCACACACCCCCTGCAATCCCCCAGCAGCTGCCCCTCAGCCCCACGTGTCACCAACACTCCAGGCTGGCTCTGCACCCACCTCCAGGGACAGAGCTGCCACAGCCACTGTGGACACACACATTGACAGAGCTGGGGAATTCCAGCTTGGGAATTCTCTCCAGGCCTGGATTTCTCCTGACTCTCAGCTCCATTCCCAGGCTGACAAGCTGACTGCAGCTTCAGTTAGGGAGGAGTCTCCCAGGGTGACAACACGGTGACAAACAGAGTGGAATTCATCACCAACATTAACCCCTGGTGTCTTTCCCGTGGGACACATCCTGAGGTGCTGTCCCAAGGATGTTTTTCCCAATTGTCCAATGAGCTCCTGTCCTGTCCTGGCTGCACTGACACACTTTAAATCCGGGCTGGCTGTACAATAAATTGGCTTTTTTTCCCCAAAAGAGCTCCGTGTGTGTTGCTGTCCTTTCTCTCTCTTTGCAGCACAGTGACCACACAGCCACCCCTGCCAGTGACCACGGAGCCACCCAACCCCAGTGTGCACCTCAGAGGCTCTGAAAGAACGAGCCCCAGTGATTTCTTGTGGGCTGGGTGTTCAGAGCACAACCGGGGTGGAGGAGGACGAAACACACCAAAGGAAAACAAAATAAAAATAACAAAATAAAAATGAACCTTGTCCCTTCCATCTGCAGGGGCAGCTGACACCACAAAGCTCCTCTCAGCACACAGCTGCCTGGCAGGGCTGAGTCCCACAGCAAATTCCACAGTGTGACCTCCCAGTCCTTGTTCCTCTGCTCTCATTTCTATCTAAACAATGCCAATTGCCCGGCTCTGGCTGCCAACAACTGCAGTGTTTACTCCAGACTGCCCCAGGATTAAAATGCTGAGCCATGGATGGCTATGAAAGGTACATTTACAGAGCTGAAGTATCACCAGCTCAGTTGGGGTTTCGTAGGAAAGCAGGAAGTTATATTATATCCCAGGAAGGGGAAAAAACCCAGTGAGACAAAACAAAAAACTTCAATAACATAATTGAGCCAAGTTCTCTCTTGCTTTGGAACAAACTCAGCTGTTGACACGGCCAAGAGCTTGCATTTCACTCCTCCTGCTGTTAAAACTCCTCCCCTTCCAAATTTCCCTTTATTATCAGGTCTGGGAGTGGCCAAAGAAGAGCAGGGGCTGCTTTGTGTCAGTCTCTCTCTTCCCAGGACGCCAAATTTCAAGGACATCTCTCACCTCGAACCTCTGAGAGTTCACTTTCTTCCCTTTCTTGTTCCAGGTGACCCTTGGCTTCGGGTCTCCAGTGGCTTGGCACACGAAGGAGGCCACCCCTCCTGACACACCAATCTGGTCCACAGGCTTTTTAATGAACACAGGGGGACCTTGAGGACAAAAGGGAAACATCATCAGTGGCAGTCACGAACACAAACTCTAATAAACACGCTTTGTAATTAATAGTGGTGGTGCTGCTGCTATTCTTAATGATCTCAGTTGAAATTAAACCTCTTGGCCTTTTTCAGAACAGCCTTTACCTCCATTTTACATATGAAGTAGCTCCAGCAGAAAATGATTAAGGGCCTGATCCTACAAAGAGACTTCAGTGTTGCAAAGCCTCTTTTACTCCTGAAAAGTGGACTTTTAAATTGTTTTGTACAGGGGAAATTGCCCTTGCAAAACCCATCTAATGAGCATCACCAAAAGCTGGTAGAGCTGAAAACAACACTTAGGAACAGTGAATTGCACTTCCCAGCTCCTTGGACAAGAGCAAAACACCAAGGAACAGAGGAGAGTTTCAGGAATAGAGCCAGGGAAGGGAGAAGGTGGGACAAGTACCATGAAATAGCAGGAGCAGCACTTGGCACACAGAGCTTGGGGACAATGGTGTGCAAGAGGCTGCAGGATGGGAAATCCCCTCAGCTGTGGCACCTCTGCCTTCACCTGCACGTCCTCCCAGGTACATTTACACAGACCAGGTAAGTGATCTCCCGGGGGATTTTATACAAATAAAGGCAATTTGAGAGCACAACCAGCCAGCTGCCAAACCCCAGAGCCTGCTCCCCTTTCTCCTCTGCTCAGCACGAGGCTCCCATGGAATTCCTGCTGCTGCAGGAGGAATCCAGGCTCTCCTGCACTCTCCTCTCCCTGCAGCAGCAGTGCAGCCATGCCCCAGTGCAAACCCAGGGGCTGGGGCTGGTTTTGTGCCAAAGAGCAGCACCTGAGCCCAGAGCAGCTCTCCCTCAGCCCCTCACTGATTTCCACCAACATCCCACTGCAGGGATGGGCTCTGTGGCCAAGGGAGGTGCCAAGGGGCTGCTCACAGAGGAAGCCAAAGCCAGCAGGGTTTGTGCAGAGCCCACATTGCCCCCACCCCCTGGGAATCCTCCTTCCGTGCTCTAACCTGTTTTCCTTGCACTGCTTCCTCTCATCTAGTTACTTCAAAATTTATTGAAATATTTAAATCACAGGGCCACAGCTGCGTTCAAATAAAATCACTCAGATCATAAAGTTGCCGTCTGTTTTCTTGAGGAAAGCAGAGCACGTGACTGAAATGTGTGTATTTATCCCTCCATACTCGAGAGTCTATAAAATAAGATGCAAACAGCTTCCCACAGGGCTCGACAGGAGGGCAAATGGTGGCTGGGGAGAAGTCTCCAGGGTCTTTTAGGGGTCGAAAGACAAAAGGAAACCTTCTCCCCTTGCCTGCCTGGCGTGGCCAGCAGTATATAAATAAAAGGCACTGAGCAAGCTCATGTGATGCAATCAAGCATTTGTTTCCATGCTGGAGGTAAATACAATTTGCTGGAGCTGTTTACGTCCCACCGAATGCTGTGTGTACAAAGCACGGCATTTATAAATACCCAAATCTATATTTAGAGGTCAGAGCCTTCTTTGCAATGTTACAGCTAAAGGTTATCAAGCAAATCCCACCGGAGGAACTGGCACTGGGGGATGTGTCTTCCATCTGAGAAAGGTAAAACCCAAACCCTGCTCCAGGCTAAAATATAAATGCTCACTCTGCCCCTGACTTCCTTCCTCCGCTCACCTCCGCTCGATATCTGAAGAGTTTGCAAAGTCAATTCTGAAGGTACAGCTAAAAACATCCAGGGCTTTTAAGAACACTTTATTGATGCAAGTTCATTTCCTAAAATAAAAGCCCCTAATAAACCTTAATGTCACGTATACATTTAAATGGGTGCAGGCTGCATGATGAGAGATCAGCCGAGGAGAAAAACAAGGTTCTATTTCCGTCCTGGAGAAAGGGATGGTGCTCCAAAAAAAACCCCACGGAATTTGGGGTCATTGCTCAGCATCCCATCACCCCAACACCAGACCCCAAAAAGGGGTCCACGAGTGGGGCTTTTCCTGAGCTCCTGCCATTCCCAGCTGCCTACCAGGGACTCACTGTTGGACACGAGGGGCCAAACAAAAACCCAAACAAAAACCACCCAACCTATTCGGCTTTGCTACTCACTTGGAAAATGGGTGAGAATCAGAGCTAAATTGTTGATTTGAAAATTGCCCGAGCACTGAGCTGCAGATTTGATTCCTCCCCCTTGTACTCTCCACCTCTGCACCCCCAGTCCCTGCAGAGCTCGGCTCCAGCCCACACTGAGCACTGAGCCCTGGGGAGGAGAGAGCCAGAGCAGCACAGCACTG